GGCAACCTGTACACAGCAGCGACGCAGGCTCCGAGCCTCGGCGTGTGCCCCGAGCGGCTGGCGCTCCTCAAGCTCGCGTCCGAAGAGAGCGAGAGCGCGGTCGACGGCGTCGCGATCAGCTCGTCCGACGCACTCTTCTTCCCGTCGCCGTGCGGCGACTGTCGGCAGTTGCTGGCGCAGTTCGGCGACTTTCCCATCTACCTCATCCGCAAGTCGCTCGAGTACGAGAAGACAACGTCGTTTGCACTCTTTCCGCAGGCGCTGCAGCAGCCGCACGTGCTGCCATCGGCCCCGACGACGACGACGACGACCATCACGTCCAATGTCCGACGGTCGCACGTGCGGCCCCGCGCGCAGATGCAAGTGCGCGACTGGGGCCTCGACCACGTTCTCGACTGGCTCATCGAGGACGTCGGTCTCCCCGAGTACGCGCACACGTTTCAAACGCACGGCGTGGACGGCGCCATGCTCCAGTACTTGCAAGAGTCGGACCTCGAGTTCCTCCTCCGCATCAACAACGTCCTGCACACGAAGCGCATCGGTCTCTGCTTGGATCGGCTCCGTGCGGCGGGTACGTCGATTCGATGGCGTTGAGATTGAGTGTCGGTAGATGCATCCGATGGCATCGCCTTCGCACAGCTCGACGACTACCTCGCCGTGCTGGACATGGACCGCATCAACGTCTGCATCGTACTTCTTTGACGTGGCTCACGCGCGCCGACGGTAGGTGGTCGCTAAGCTCAAAGTCGTCTTCGACACCGTGGACGCAAACAACTCTGGCGCGCTAAGCTTTGAGGAAATCAAGCTGGCGCTCACACGCCTCGAGTACACGGTCGACGCCTTGGCGGTGCGACACCCTGTTGCCCGATATACAAAGTACAAACAGGATTCCATGTAGGTCGAACGCTGGATCCAAAGCCGCTCGACAGCGGCCCGCGTGACGTTTCCAGAGTTTGCGCTGGCGGTGGTGACGGCATACGCCAAGTCGACGCCGCTGCCCGTGCTGCCGCTACCCAAACTAGATTTGGCCGCCATTCGCCAGTCGTTTGAGCGCGTCGACGGCAACGGCAACGGCGTCATCGACAAGCGAGAGCTCTTGCGTGCGCTCGAGCTCCTCGGGCGCACCGATTGCGAGGCCAAGGTCGCCGACTGGTTCTTGAACGCCGACGAGGACAAGTCGGGCACGATTTCATTTCCAGAATTTGTCCTGCGCTACACCCAGCTCCAGAATCTGGATGTGGCGCCGATCCGGGACGCGTTTCATCGAGTGACTCCGCAAGGGTCGGTCTGCCCACTGGTGCAGCTGCCGTCGGTGTTTCGAGAGCTTTTCGTCCGGTACGATGTTGGAGCGCTCGACAGATACATGGCGGCGAGGAAGGCGCACACACACGGACTCTCGTTCCCCGAGTTCCTCGTCGTGTACCATCTCTTCGCGACGGAGCCCGAGCCCGTACGCTGTTGCAATTTCCGTCGCGAACACTTGGCATCCTGCACTAGGTGCAAACCACGGAGCAGGTGCATCGGTATCGCATCGTGCAGCTGCAGCAGTCGGGCCACGTCCGCCTCTGCACCAAGCCTCCGGTTGCGTCGAGCTCTCCAAAGCCGTACAAGAATCCTGTGTGTTGACGCTGGGAGATGTATGCGGGTGGGATATGTAGCTGCCAGCAGACGAGTACGAGCAAGACGCCGTCCAAGCTCATGCAGTTTCAGCAAGCGTAAGACGCGTCGATATACGGCGTCTCCAACTCGGTGCTAGGAGGAAGCGCCGGGAAGAGACTAAGGACGACGACAGCAGCGAAGACGAAAGCAAGCTGGCCGACGAGGTTGCTTCTCTCGACGAGCTGCGATGTCAATGCAAGTGGTAGTTTGCGCATGTCCACGAAGCGTTTGAGCGCTTCCGAGCCAAGCGCGTGACGACACCCGAGGCCGTCCAGGCGCTGACCGAGCTCGGGCTTGTGCTTCCTCGGGCCCAGGTAGGTGCTTCGACCGACAGAGGCGCTGTACATCGCGACTAGATGTTGGCGTATTTTACGAGCCATGGGTTCGGCACCTCGCGCGACATCTCGTACGCGGACTTGGTTCGGAGCTACCAAGCGCTACGAGCGGCGACGCCCGCGTTCAACAAGGCGGCTGCGCGCCGCCACCACCGAGAGCACCACGCCCGTACGTTCCTAATTGCGTCGCGCTCTGACGGTTGGCTGCAGATGCCAAGAGAATGCGCGCCGCCGAGGTACTTTCAGACTCTTCTATGCACCGGACTCGACGGCGCGTAGGCGCTGCTCAATGGAACCAACGGAAAACCGTTCACGCGCATCGAGTTTGACGCTTACTGCCGGCGACAGCACGAGGGCAAAGGCGAGGAGGACGACGCCAAGGAAGACGACGATCCGCCGCCGTCCAAGCACCGCGCCGCCGAAATCGACAAGCTCTACCGCGCCCACGCTGCCCGCCGAGAGGCGTGCGTCACCCGTTGCCAACGAGACTGCTCGAGACGATACGTGTGATGTAGACGTCGGCCGCACTCGAGCGACTCGGACAGCGATGACGACGACGACGACATGGCGCCTCGGTAGTTGGCGGTTCTTATCTTCGATGCGACGAGAACGGTGGGCGTAGGCGCAAGCACCGTCCAGGCTTGGAGGTCGGTGACCGCGTCGTGGATAAGACGCGGACGCTGGGACCGGCGACGGTCATTCGTCTCTACGCTGCGTACGGCGTCTGCGACCTGCACTTGGACTCGGGTCTCAAGCGCCGCAACGTCGACGTCGCGTCCCTTCGGCGATTCCGAGACCGGCCGCTCGCGTCGTTCGCGTCGCCCGAGCTCTTTGCCGCGGGCGACAGCGTCAACGTGCGCTACAAAGGCACGAAACTCTGGCGCGCCGGCGTCATCAAGAAGGTCCGGTCCCGCGAGCGCGGATACGACGTCCGCTACAATGCGCGTGACGAGGTCGAGAAGCACGTGCCGCACCACCACGTCCGTCGCGCGCTCGCTGCGCCGCTCGAGATCGACGAGGTGGCGAATCCAATGACATCCAATGACTTCTGATAGTAGATCGTGCCATGTGCAGGGCTTGGTCGAAGGCGCCAAGGTGGACGCCCGGACGCGCGAGTGCGCGACCTTCTTACCCGGCCGCATCCTCTGCGTGCGCGCCAACGGCACGTTTGACGTGCGCTTCAAGCACCAGGACGGCGCGATCAAGGAGCGTCTTCCTAAAAAGTGGCTCCGGCTGCGCGACGACGACGACGAGACGCACTGGAAGGTCGGGGACGCCGTCGAGCGGCACGCGCACGGCAACGTCCAGCGGGGCGTCGTCGCGCGCTGCCGAAGCGACGGGTCCTACGACGTCGAGTGGGACGACGGCGAGGACGAGACGCACGTCAAGCCATCGACGCTCCAGCAGGCAGCCTCCGTGGTGGGTACGCTCCTTCGGCGGGTTTGACGAGAGGACTTTGGCTCTAGCGACCGCTAACCAAGGGCGATCTGGTGGAAGCGCGCTTTGGTGGCAAGGACAAGTTCTTCAAAGGCAAGATCACCCACGTCCACGGCGATGGCTCGTACGACATCGAGTACGACGACGGCGACGAGGAGCGGAGGGTGGACCCAGCGCTCGTGCGCCTGCTACCAACGACCAAAGAGACCAAGGTCTGCACCAAGAATCTCTGCGTGTATCTCATGCTATGCTTCGCAGTTCAAGAAGGGCGATGTCGTCGACGCTCGGTTTGGCGGCAAGGGCAAGTACTTTCGAGGCAAGATCACGCTTGTCCATGGCGACGGGTCGCTGGACGTCGAGTACGACGACGGCGACCGGGAGACGCGCGTGGAAGCGGCGCTTGTGCGACCGTCGGCCGACGCGTATGCGGACGACGACTTTGAGGAGTGACTTAAGATGATGGATTATGCAATGGTACAACGCGTGGGCCAGCGGTGAATAGCTTAGTTACATGACCGCGCGGTAGGTCACGTACCGACCGGCGGTCTCGGACGGTCGGATGATCTTGACGACTTGGCCACGGGTCATGCCATAGTATCTACATGGAGGATGAGCAGAGATCCTCATGGCGTGGACAAGTACCTCGCGATCGGGTCGCTCACTTGCATGCGCGGGAGCTGGCTGTCCTTGAGCTTGTAGCGCTTGAGGAGCGCGATCTTCTCTTCGCGCGTGAGCACCTTGTGCACGGGCACGAGCGTGTGTTCGGTGATGTCGACGAGGAGCTCCGTCTCCTTAAAGTGGTCGATCTTGTAGCGCGGCGCCATTTCGTTGAGCGCTTGCTTGGCAAAGGGCGTGATGCCATCCTACATACATGGCATGAGGATGATCCTGCACGCATCCGACGTGTCATCTACCTGCACGATGAGGATGGCCTTGGTCACGTTCTCGTCCTTCATGCGGTTGCAGTAGGTGCGGATGGGCTTGACGCCGACCTTGGCGTCGTCCGGGTAGAAGACGAAGAGGTTGTCGCTCGGGTCGTCGACCTTCTCGACGAGGATGGTCATCATCTCGCGCGTCGGGTTCTCGCCGAACTGGGCCGCGAAGCCGTCGGTGGTGCGCTTGAGCTCGTCGTCGCTGACGATGTAGCCGCGGTTGGCCAGCATCTTGACGACGGTCTTCCGCACGCGGTACAAGCGCGAGGCCTCGGGGTTCAGCACCAGCGCGCTCATGTGTTCGATTCGTTACTGGCCATAGACCCAATCACTGGCCTTGGCAAAAAACCTCTGTCTAGTGATACCTTTCGAATCGCATTGCTTCCGAAACCTCTATGTATCCATATGGCGCCACATGCATTGGGAGAGGTAGAGCGCAGGTGCGATCGAGGGGCCAGTGGTCCAGTAGCAGGTCCAGTACTGTACTATTAGTGCTGCGGAAGTCCTTGGCGCCAACAATAGTGCAGCTCGCCACGCGCTTACATGAGACGAGGAAGCTGTGTCCGGAATCGAACCAACACTTAGTGATGGCGCCATTGGGCCCACCGCTTCGGCCAGGGCGGCAACTTGAAATGACGTGGTTGATTTATGACGCGCTCTTCCTCCTGCTCGCGTCTGCAGCGGGAAGAAGGTCCGAGCAGAGGAGCTATGGGACGAAGGCATGAAATGTTTACAAGAAGCCGAGGAGCCCACTCCATCTGCCGTGCGTCCATGCCGCCGCTCAGTGATGAGGTTGGTGCTCAGAGCACTAGGGCGAAACCACCGAGGCGATGGCGTCCGAGGAAAGCGTCTCGTCGGGTCGTTATCGCACGTCAATGCGAGGCCCCAGCGACCTTCGCCTGTTGTCTCAAAGGTGCTTTGAGTTTGCAGCCCGTTGAGTTTCATCCAAAC